CCCCCCCCACCTCCCACCCCACCCACCGCTATTTTTGTTTACATTTCCCGCAAATGTTATTTTTCGCTTATGTTATATTCTTAAAACTTTTTTTTCTTCTCCCCCGTTTGTATTGACTTGGCGAACTGTTTCATTGACTTGAACTTCAAGAGCGGTTCTTCGTCTTCATTTTATCGTTTGAGGTAAAATGAATTATTACTTGGGAGATTTTAATTATATTTTAATAATGGGATTCGAATTGTGGGGTATTGAATTATAAGTTAATGTTGTAGAAGCTTTCTGAGGTATGAAAATCGGGTACTAGTGGATGAAATATTCAGGAGAGAGGAATGTGAATATTAAATTACTTGAGGTGGAGATATATTGACGCGATATCCGGCGATTTTTATGATTTAACTGGTGGTAAATATATAAATATCACCGGAATCGCATCAAATATTCAGATGAACGAGATGCAAATACAGAATTATTTCCGCAGAGGATATTTCAGGTGAGTATCTAAGACTTTTCCCAACTCAATTATAGAACCGACTACAAATATATTTGAATATATTTATACATCGCTTTCATTAAGATATTTTCTATTTTTCGTGTAAGATCGTGGCAATTGCATAATATATCGTCCAATTTGTTCGTTCCCCCAAATATATACATGTCGCTATAATTGGATAAAATCTTGAATCCCAGAATTTGAATGAAACAAACAAAATGAAGAATTATGTGTTGTAGTAAAATTCACGCAGGGTTAATACACGTACACCTGTTTAGCGACGGTAATTTATGAGACGTGGGTGGGTTTTTGGTATATATGAGAGCGACGACGAGACGAGAAGTCAGTACAGCTTGCCAAGAAGATTCCGCCTTTATAGTTTAGGTATATTTACAGAAAGACAGAGGTGAATAGCAGTGAGGGGGGAGGGGGAGGGGGATATATCTATGGACACAGTGAGTAACGATGAAATGGTATTGCTAGTGACCGTTAGCGTACAAATCGTTTCATATCCTAAATAAATGTCTGGAAAGAGTCAATAATGAATCAATTTTATTCAATTGGCGTTTCGCTGGGTTGGGAGAGAGGGGGAGGGGGCTTCAAGAAGAGATTGGAGTAATAAAATTGTGGAGATTGAAATGATGCTACGGGCTTTATAGTAACTTGAGTAATTAACTCGATAAATTGGTTGATTAAACGAGGGGGTAATGCAGTTTGTTGAAACATTGGGGGAGAAAAATATTTTGATAGGAGGGATAAGGCACGTCGTGGGACTAGTCTTGAATATATTGAAGTGAATGATGATGATATATCGTGTAATGATAATGGAAAATATTAATATTCAATAGGACAACGCAATATATCGTTATATCAATATATTGCGGGAGGAATATTCAACTGTGATAATAATATATCATGTTGATATTTGGAGAATGACACGATGTCTCGGTTTATCGTGATGATTATCGTGGTGCTCTTGATAAAATGGTATTGTGAGTTGATATATTCGATATATTAATATATTCCGGGAGGAATATTCAGCTGTGACTTTAGATAACACCAGCAGTAATGGGTTACTCTTAACTGAATAGATTATCGATTCAATTCAAATAGTCCATTCACGAAATTTCAATGGAGAAGTTCCTTTCACCCGTTCTACTGGGATTGAAGGTTGGGTACCAAAGCTTCATGAGAAGGGGGTGGGGATCTTGTTGTCATGACTACAGCTTGATAATTTCAGGATAATTCTCACCGAGATCACTATAATTTTCAGACACTTGTGCACGATATAGCGTTCCTCACCGGGAATTTTCACGTTATTTTCAATGTTATGTTTCGTTACTATTTTTTTTTATTTTCTTTTTTTCAGTCAACAGAGTTTCATTTTTACCCCTCGACAATAGCTATTTTCCACCGGCTTAAAAGTATTCTGAAATGACAGTTTAATTAAAACGTCACAACGCCCACTTTTAATATCGAATATACTTCACGATTATTTTTTCCATGATTAACCCGTCGCGAAATTGAAAATAATTAGCTCGGAAAATTAACGAAAGGGAGGAGTAAGAAAATTATCAAGAAATATTCGAATTTCCATCAGATCCATCGATCGAGTGAACTATCAAAAAATCGATTAATAATAAATCATGAAATTTTCTCATTTTCCGAAGAATTGTTAAAACCATAACCACAAGAACAAAAAAAGGGTTGATAAATTTTTCAAAGGGTATATCCTAATGAAATATTTCCCCACTAAATTATCACATCCCCCATCAAAATATCTAATTAAACTCGAAACAAGGGAGTATAGAGGTCACCTAGACCGCCATAGAACCGAGGAACAATTGAATTTAATAATACCGAAAAAAAAGGAAAGAAAAAAAAACGCAAAAATAAAAGGGCTTTACCCCGAGAAAGAGAAAAAGCCGCCTGATAATAAACCCCGAGCAAATGATGAGTCCGAGTTCCTCATTGTACACAATTCTCGGGCTATCCTTTCTGATGGTTTGCTGGATCTGCGCGTTGCCTCAAGCGTGATATGCGCGCCCTTGGTTGCCCATTGTGCGCGGTGTAATAACGTTGCGACGAGCCCTCCTCCACATTTCAGTGTGAGAGGGTGGATGGGTGCAAGAGAGACCCCCCACCCCATCGGAAAAGTGAGGGGGGGCAAGCAAAAAGAGAAAGATAAAAGGGGGCGGCAGGAGGTAAAGGGGGTGGTTCAGTGGCAGTGGAGGGGCGGGAGGGCAAAACGCAAATCGAGTGAGAAGGGAGGTAGTGGCAATAGCATAGAGCAGTAAAGCGGGGGCGGACGTGAGTTGCCAGTGACTCTGGCTCCTCAGTCGACGTCAAGCCGTCGGTACGAGCGTGTGCATCAGGTTCCATTATCAAAAAATTTGCCGACAATAACGTGTCCGAAATCGTGATAATGCACTGACATTACCCAAAATTTTCCATTAACCATTCGATTGATTTAATTCGCGATTAAAATTTAATACCGCAAAAAATAATTCACGCTATTACGACTCGCGAAAACGGGGAGAATAATGAGAAGTAAAAAATAACGATAGCTACTGTATTTTGGTTGAGTGATATTTACGTGTAATTGTGGGTTTATCGTGAACAGTGCATTGGATTATAGTTATGAGGTATGTAATTATACTTTTGTATCCCTCATTTGAGCCTGAATAATTCGAGTGTCTGGTAGCATCTGGTGATACTGTATTGTTTAAACATTTGTTGTTTACGTAATGTCTGTATCCAGAATTTCGCCGGGGATTGGGGGGGGAGGGGTACGATACGTGCTCACGGTTACAATTGCAATCCGCCACTTGTTATTTTTAATATATTTTTTTTTGTTGATTAACGTTTTGCACCGGTGGAATGTTACGATGAGAAATATCGCACGGGATGGGATATCAATATAACGTCAACGTGAGCATATTTTATTCGAATACTGCTGAGAATGCTAAAAAATAGACGAGCGGCTGATGTGCGGAACGTGTGGCATTTCACGATGAATATAAAACGATGTGAAAAATGAATAGAATAAAAATTGAAGGGTAACGGGGCTGACTATAGACCGGAGTGGATCACTTTTCGCTGAATAAGGACTGAATCCTTGAGGTGACTATTTTGAATTCAAAGGGACTAAAAATTATCGGAAATGCGTAAAATCAATTTACGTAATTAAAGATGATCAATCGATTTAATCTCCCCGTGGATTTTTATAACAATAAGATCATTGATGGGATAATGCAAAAATTCTTAGAAGACCAGTAAAGAATTTGCATTGAAGAAAAATTATTTACGCTTTCAAATTTCTATCTAGAAAATATTTTTTAGACTTGTTTTAATGTAGGATTGTTTTAAATCCAAAACCGAATGACTACAACCCGAAGTGGATTAGAGAATTTTATTAATTCCAGAAAAGACTAAAACGACCGAAAAGCCAGAAACACTTGTATGTAAATTCCGCCTATTAAAAAACCAGAGATAATTTGCCAAGTGCCGAACCGATCTACAAATTTTTTCGATAAATAATTCCAATGAGACGTAAAAAAATGGGGTAAAATGGGCGAATAGCAGCCGATAACTCTTCATTTTCCGGTAAATGAAGGGTGAAAAAAGGTTCCCGTAAATAACGAAAAAAACGAGGGGGCAGGTGAGAGGGGAGGGTAAAAAAAAATAACGAGCGAGTGCTTTTGATTCACTTCGACATGGGCCCGCGCAGCCAATAAGTACTAACTAATGGTCGTAGGGTTGCGACGTGGTAAATCCCCGTGGGGTGGAGGAAGGGTGGTTAAAAAAAAAAAATATATATATATATATGTTTGTTATTTTCCGTCCTCCCCACCGATTTCTTTCGCTCTGCTCAACGTCCCTGTTATGTAGCTCGTTCGCAGGTCCGCTCGTTACAGAGATTGCCAAGTTTGCCGAGTGGAAATTTTAACCCCCTCCAATCCCTCCCCATTTCCACCCCCTATCCACCCCCTCCAAGCACTTCACTCGCACATTTCCCTCCTCCTGATATTTTTTTCCGGTCCCTCTCTCTTTCCTAATGATCGGCGGCATCTCCACACGGTTCACCAACTTTTCTCGTCTGGCCCCAGTGCGTCATAAAAATAAAAGCATAAAAAAAAAACTCCTACAACTCCTCAACATCAGGTCTTACGCGAAATACGCGAGGCAGGGAGAAAAAATACAAGTCGACTTCGGAGGGGATTTTTTTTTTTAAATCGCCAATTCACCGGAACTCATTTTGCCTAATGAAATTTTTACACTACTCTCTCGTGATACAATTGGAAATATTTCCAACACCCGGAGTGAAATAGAATGGAATATCTTGAGACTTTTCAACGGGAGATGGTTATTGTTTTATGATAATCGAGGGGATATTCGGGATTAAGGAAATATCATCTGCTTGGTATGCGGCACGTGGAAAGGTGACAACCCGGGGGAGGAAATTCAACCCTCTGTCCATAATTTCAATGGGGATGGAGTGGATTTTTTTAATCGTAAGGAGAAAATTGGCTTTTCTCGATCGAGAAGTTTTGGGGTGAAGAAAATATTACCGGTGATGGGGGTTACCAGTACTTATACGAGAGGCAGAGTGGAACGAGATTTTCCGCGTTTTTTAAATTACCGATTCACGCTCTTTTTCCGGACACCAGCCACTACTCGGCCCACCGGACGTGTCACCCTCTTTTTTTTCCGACCTCCGTGAGGGAATGAGGGTGAACGAGGGTAAACGCTCACTGGTTAATACACTGGTTAGAATTTTCCCCGAATTTTCCAGGTATTGCCCTCAGAATATGAAACGAGTGACAGTTGCACTGAAATTTCAGGCGAAATTAACAGTGAATTATGATATTTTTAGTCACGACAATTTCATTTCTGTATTTTTCTTTTGGAAATAAACTTGTATGTAATTATTTGGGGAATTCAACTATTAAAAAAAAAATAGAACATTCGTTCCAAATAAATGGAGTTGAGATGAAGCCAGAATGAATTTCAGGGAAAATTCAAAGTGAATTATGATATTTTCCTTTGGAAAAACAAGAGTTTTGTAATGTTTTTTTTTGTTTTGGGAAATCAAATTCAGAGTAAATTATCTGGAAAATTCAGCAATTTTTTTTAACAGCCTAACATTCGTCCCCGAAGCATTTGGAGTTGATTTGCAAAGCCAGTATCATAACTACTCCCAAATGTACGGTAAAATGGTGCGCGTCAACCTCACCACTCGTTATAAAACTCAACGAGGGATAAACGACATGCATACGTGCACAAATAGTTTCCATTTTTGTGTGAAAATGAATTAAATGTAAATTCGTCAGGGGACAGAAAAAAAAACACGGGAATTCAATTCTTCACTGGATGAGTATTAAATAAACGAATCGATCAATTTTTCTACCGAAATTGAGAGGAAAAAAAATTGTGATATCTCAATGGAGTAATCAATCAGGCGCTCAATGTCCCCAGTTTCATCTCAAAAATTCGCCTAAAATTCCATCGATCCATCAGAAATCCAAAAATTTCCCGAAACTTTGAGTCAATCCATCAACACACGAGACTTCATGAAAGCGCCAACACAACCTGTTTTTATTCATGAGTCACTCAACTTTTTCAGATAAAACATAATCCTCATAAACTGTCACTCTGACAAATGCGGTAACAGCTGATGGTGTAAGAATTCTACGCGAGTCGAGGGAAAATAAACAGTTCTCATTTTTGTTCGTGTACCTATTCCACAGAATAGTTGGTACTATTTTCCTGGAGACCAAAAATTCCAAACTTTCATATCAAATCAAGTGTTGACGGATTGATTTATTTCCATTGAGAAATTCACATTTTTTTCTCTATCAATTTATCCCACACCGACGGCATAGAAAGTAAAAATAAAATTATTGATTCCTAATATTTTTTCGCATTTTCGTCATGTTCTTCCGTCAAAAAAATTCCGTACTTGGAGAGAATGTCGAAGCAAAAGTTGACTCGAAGAGAATTTATGGGAATTAAATGAAGTTATTTTGGGGAAAATACAGAAATCTTTCGCTCCCGTGAAGTTAGGTATTCAATCTGTCTCGATTCAGGTACCCTAACACCCTAAAAACAATCACCACAAGAGATTTCCATCACCCCCTGTCCTAACCAATTCACCCCGTTAAAACCTTTTTACCCCACCCATCACCTGTAGACCCAACGAACAATCATCCTCATCCCCAGACATCTCCATCGCGCAGCGCCCCCAGCCCCAGGCGTCCTCAACCATTTTATACCGCGTTTTCTTAATCCACTTAAGCCGTTTAATCCCCCCGTCAGTGCAGCTGCATGAAATATTTACCCATCACATCCAGGTATAATGCCGAGCCATGTGTGTTACCTTGTACATGTGTATGACCATCCAAAGAGTTGGCAACTCCGCTTCCCCTTCTCCAACGATACAACACATGTTCCAACACTAGTCAGTATAATCCGCAAGCGCTGACTATACACCTAAAATCCAATGGGGGGTTTAGAATCGTGCTTGTAAACGTAACTACACGGAGTGGTAGAAGACATACTACCTGAAGATGAGAGATTCACGGAGATGCTGGATGCTGGAGTTGCGACGTCTCATCTTGTTTGGCGTATACTCGTGTTACGGTATGCACGTACAGGATATTTTGTTGAGTTCACCGTGTGAATTCCAGGGGGTGAATGAGTAAATATGAGTTACATATTCAGGTGTGTGGGTGATGAATAGTCTGTGAGGATGAGCTATACCCAGCCATCGCACGTAATTGAACGTCGCGCGGTCAAGACGTGACACCGAACGCTCGCACTGCCAAGATCCAACTGCGCGCAAAAATTACAGAATTATATTGGAGAAAAATTGTTGAGTTAGAGGGGGGAAATAATACAATGGAGCCGCGAGGAAAATTCTGGGAAGGGCGAGCTACGGTATTTACATTTTTGGTTTGATGTAAACAGAGGTGAATGAATAGGATCTGTTGTGTTGACATTGCCGCAGGTCTTGTTTCATATCTTAGATAGATTTCGAATTTCCCTTGTTGTATTTTAATAGAAATAAATCACATCAGGGCCAATTGGAGGAATGAAACACTATTAGAAATTCGTTTATTAAAGAGACCTGCGTACTCTGAGCACCGAAAAAAAATTTCACAATTCGATTTAACCAATGGGGAATCGTCTTACGAGTTTCGAGATATCTCGACTCAAGCGAACTTCATTCATCATTAAAGTGATGTATGAAATATCTTTCGATGGAACAATGATATTAAAAAAAATTAGGTTTAAATTGTTTAGGATTGGAAATGTGTCTAGGGCCTTGCAAGGTTTCCCCGACAAATGCGCGGAAACTTTTAGAGGAAATAATGTGGGTATGCACTCCGAACAACTGTTAAATAAAATGATCTTTACAGAAATCAACCTATAGACTGAATTATTTTCCAACTCAACAAGTTGTTTCTGGATTTCGCCCAATATCTATAAATTTTTTCTTCCCTACCGATAATATAAAACGATATCTCCGTCTTTGCGGTTCATGAACCGTTCTATCCACTCGTCTGGACGCTGCCATGTACATGGCTACTCTTTCATGAAGCTCCTTCAACCGTATGAATGACGAGAAAAAGAAGATTATTAGGTAAACTAGTTTCATTTTTTATCAACTTTTTGTATCAAGTTGAGAGATTCATTTTTTTTTGCGCTTATTTGGGGAGAAAACTGAGAGCACATTATATTATGTAATCGGAGTGTGTAAATGTTCTAGAAATGAGTTGCGAGGTTATTTCCAGGCAGGCGACGACGGGATTTTGCTTATTTTCCGGCCGACGGTCTCAACGTCCTCATGACGCCACCATACATTTCGATAGGCGCATAAGTACCGCATTATATTCACAATAAACTATTTACATTTTTATTCGATCCATTAGCCCCGCGAATACGCCGACAGAATACTAAATGAGAAGTGTTTTTAATACGTTTTGAATACAGCGAAAAAATTGATACCGCATCGTCATTCTTATATTGTCAACTCAATTACCTATTTACTTTTTATGTAACTGCATTCATAATCGGTATATACTGAATAATGTATGGGCAAATAAATTTTTCAATGAATAATCGATTGATAATTATTTCAACTGTCGAAGTGGATTTGAACTCTAACCGATATTTTCGTTAATTAAGAAAAATCTTGAGCTAATTAAAATGCAGAGACTCAGGGAATATTTGACTGAAATATATCCGATGGATTTACTTTATATTCGTGATCCTCGGTACAAAGAGCATTTACCCGTGAGAATAATTGCTGATATAAAATTCAATGTGAAAATACGAACAATTAATTGGAGCGAATGATGCTCTCCCGTTTTATTCCGACGAAATGTTATTTCCAGTGAGAAGAGTATGAAATCTATTCAACCGAGTATATTCAAAAGAAACAATCAGCAGTGTTACGTAGAGATAGCGATAAATCCGGATTTCCATTGCGGAAGTTCATAACGGTCATGGCACGTTGAGATTTCATATTTTTAAAAGGACCGCTGACCCACGCGTGTGAGTACTTGATAAACATCGTTATAACTCCGAGGCGATTACAGAATTTAAAAAAAAGCATATGTGGGAATATTTTTCTCCTCCAACAGTCGTTTTCCGTAGTTTTTCAGACGTTGTTTACCATCGAAAATCGTTTCGTGCAAATATTGTTTTATCGGGTCAATCGAGCCCGGGGAAAACCAATACGAATGGTCGTAAACAATTTCGCAAAATCTACGATACACGGTAATATTAAATTTTCATATTATCAAATGAAATCTGATTAAAATAAATATCAAGTGGATTCAATCAAGTTGCCATTATTCAATAATACGAGTGATTTTCTAAAACAAATAATCGGTAATTGAGTGGATGATAAATACATCAATAATTCTACTTCATGGAGATATGCTTGTAGTGGAGTTTTTTCTTCGGCTTTAGTGTCTGCTTTGAAATTCTTCAGACCACTAGAACAATCTCCTTTTTTTTTTTCTTTGAACCGAGTCCTTTAAACGTGGATACTTGTCACAATAAACTCCAATTCATTTTTTATTCAAGAGGCAAATTCAGTGTTAAATCCTCCGCGGATAAATCCACTTATAAATCGTTATTTCTTGCATTATGTACAACACCGAGACTCAATTACCCATCTATTTGTTTAATTCGCCTTGATAAATTATAATTAATGGAATGAAATTCGTCTGCTAATTCCTATTCCGTTCAGTAAACAAGTTCTACATAAAAAGAAACAAAAAAATCGCAAGAAATGGATAGATTCTTCATAAATTGAAGAGATGACAGATGTTAGGATATCTGACCGGCAGATTATCGCCGGCAGATTTGCGTTACACGCGAAGATCGGTAGAGCTGTCAATGTCAAATTCATGACAGTATGAAAAATCGAGTAAAAGAGAGAAACACGGATACCGTTTCGTCCTAGTTAAAAATGCCACGATGCTTGATGTTTTCAACTTGAAGTTGAAAGGGACAGACAGGTTTGGTACGTTACGAAAAACCGACGAGGTCAAACGATCGATAACGGTAGCAGAGGGCCACCAACCAAAGTGAATCTATATCTGTATATACACACTCAGCTCAATATCGACGACATGTATGCCATCGGGTCAGCCTATGAACTAAACCAGACGTAAATAGTCGGTACAACGCATTTGGAATCCCTCAAGTTGACGATTATTTTGGCATCAACTCGGGGATATTCTAATAATATTTATCATTAAGATTGGCTGTAGATAAGGGCTTTCTATATTTGCGACTTTTTATTAATGGCCATTGAGAGCTGCTAATTAAGAGACAGACGGACATTTATAGTTGGATTTCTATTTCGAGGGCATGAATTGCACTAATGACGCTGATATCAAGACATTTCAATGCAAATATGTCCAGCGAAAGGTAGATTATTAGTTACAGAATTCATTTACTGTAAGTGGAATGATTTCTCGTTCCATCGGTGTGGAAAAAATACCGAGAGATGACGAAAAGACGAGTCCTTGACACCGAATGACATCGGGCCCAAAACGCCATAGGACAATTGGGCATTCGGGCCTTGACACCTGAACTACTGCATGCTAAGAATTTGTATTGTTGGAAATATTTTCGACATTACCAAGAACAGGGGAACCGTTGTAACATGTCACAGGGAATAACGAAAGGCCGTTTATAACCTAAACAATCCACCACGTGAAGGAACTCAATGGACAAAGGACCTTGTCGTCGGGGCAGACCTCACACCCTGGACTAATCGGTGGCCACTATCACCCTAGCTAGAATTAAATCGAATCCTCAACTGAAGTAAAATTATTTAAACCAAATAAAAGGTAGTCTTTGAATTTTTATAATCAGCATCAATAAAGAATTTGACAGAATAAAATGGTCGAGACTCATCAGATAAAAATAAATAGAAGATCGAGTGGTATAATAAAATAGTAGAAGATATTAATTACCATGTAGTCTCAACTCTCAAGTGCGTTTGGGTCGTTAAATGAGATGCTTCTCTTAAATATTTGGAAATAAGTATATTTGTCTACTATGAACACTTGTGTGTCGAAACTTGTGGGGAAACGGATGGAAAAATAGGGATTTCTAGGTTATAACGTGTATAAGACGATATGAATGATTCTCATCAGCATGTGTATGACGTACCGAGGAGACATATAACACCATCAGACCGATAAATAACGTGGCAAGGCGAGGTGATGCGAGACAGGCACACTGGCTCGAAACATAAACTATCAACAGTGTCAAGAGAGGCGGTGTGTTTACCACTGAAAAGGGGGCGTTTTGCTCAACGCATTGATGCCATATGGGGCGTCTTATCTGGGTATAAAGCATGGATTGCTCTCCTTTCCCGATTCAATTTTACCAATGAATTTTATCCAGCCACACCGTAAAAAACTTCTCCAATTTTCATGCTCAATTTTCTCTAATGAAAAACCAAATCTTAACTTCTCATTCGGGCAATTTATTCACAACGACAATTGAACGAGAATTTACTGAATAATAATATTAGATCAATATCACTATCACTTGAAGATGCAATGGGGAAATTTTTTTTCGAAAATTGAGATTTAGAAAATATTATTATGTGATAATAATAATAATTGTGTCTATTGAATAATCTAATGGATAATTACACAAAATTTGACTGGAGCAGATAGAGCCTCTGGGGTTTGTAGGGCAAGAGGTTAGATTGAGGCAGATAAGATAGATGTATTTTTTTCTCCGACTAAGGCGATGGGTGGAAAAAAACGATTTTCAACGGTGGAAAAAATTGAGGCTATGTTTTACGACATTTCAGGGGCATAATCTGCCACAATGTAGTCTCGGTTATCATGAGAGAGAACGAATAAATGCGAGAACTGCCATAAAAAATTAAAAATATAGAGGCAATTAGAATGCTATATGAAGCCAATAAAAATGCAAATGCTGTTTATGTTATCGCATGCAAATACCTCTTTCTACCACTAGCTATCAACTTTTTAATACATATTTTTTTTTCTCGTCGAAATGACTCGGTACAATCGAAGCAATCTCCCCGATAGGAGATACTCATCAGCTGCCACTTTGCCATATTACATTTTCGTTTTCCCTCGATTCACGTACACCTGTATACCTATCGCACATACACCAACTTGAACTTTCTATCTTTGAAAATCTATCCCTCGGGGGTATCTCATTGGCTCACGTAGTACAACTCACTCTTGATTTTACCTGGCTTCTTGTGAAATTCGATTGAAACGGAAAAAAAAAAATGAGGAAATATCGTTCAATGAAATTCAGCGAGAGGAGAAATGTCATTTTATTGGGAATAAAAACAGATGAGATAGAAAAATCTACCGCAATGAACTGAAGAAATTTACAAGTAAAATCTACCGTGAGATTGTCCGATACCGACAAAACTATCAATTTATTGCCCCAACACGAGTAAATTAGCGATAGCATTTTTAATGAGATACATCTGGTAGATGTGGATTGATCGATCGGCGGATGAATAGCCACTGACGGAGCTGCCATAATTGTCATGTTTCAATTATTCATGCTGAAAGCTAACGAACATCCATCTGCAGCTTCATTAACTCATAACGCTCTCATTATCGCAATGCCACGAGGTTTCACGAGCGAATAAAATTTGGTGTTAGGAAATTTTCTCGAGTCGTTTGAAAAATATTTCAATAACTCGAGTATGCATATCCACCACACCAACTACAATCTCGCGCATTGAACAATGTTGAGTTAGGACACAAGTAAATAGTGTGGCACAACCTCCTCTGGATGGATTCCACCTAACAACAGGAGAACAATACCTCTTTGTTGAGCGGGCTATTATACACAGTGTTCGAGAACTGGGCACAGTATTGTATTCAACTACATTTGACAAACAAATGCTGAAGGAGAACTTAAGCTATTGCCTTAACGATAATGTACGTAACGCTCTTGTATTCTTGGTTTACCATTTTTTGGTTTGTCAAATTTATCGAAGGAATTTTTATTGCTCGAAGAATTGTGATAAGGCAATGGTGATTAATTCTTGTTTTACGATTGCCAGGAGATTAACAACGTGAGCTACTCCGGTACACTTGAGTCGAGGAGAATAATTGAGAAGTTCCGCGATTTACAGAAGAATTGACATTCCAAAGACAAATCATGTAATGGATGTAAGAAGAACTGAATACCAAAAGATGATTTAATATATGAGCGAAACGAGCGAAATGAGTGGAAAGAGTGAAAAATGTGAAAGCTATTTAATCTCGAAGATTCCGACTTTAGTTTGAAAAAGATCAATCCAGCTAGTACGAGGGAGAGGAATGAGCGAAAAGAGCGAAAGTAAGGAGATATACGATTGCAATAACACCAGACACTCCATTTCTACCAACAAACACCAATACCTCATACATCTCTATTTCATTTTCTTTTCATTTTTTTTTTCTACAGGTATCAATCATAAACCCAGCAAAGAAAAACCACACTGTCGAGTTGAGCCCGTTCATAACTGAGGGACAGAGGTGGTAAAGGAGACGATGATTGAGCCTCGGAAATAACCACCGAGGTCCGCCCTCCTCCCTCGTTCCCATCACGGGTGAAGAAAAACAAGAATCGAGAGGGTCTGGAGGTGGTGGAGTGCGGAGGAGGTGGCGGAGGTGGAGACGAGGGTGAAGTTGATGGTGAAGAGGAGACAGAAGGAGTCGAAACAAGGGACTATGAAGTGATCACCATATCAACCTGGTAAATAAACATGTAAACAATGCCTTCTATCGCACTCTTTTCTTTTTTCTTCTTTAATTTTCCATTTTCCGTTTGGTGGATGGGAAAATACTCTGATGAGGTATAGAGACACCGGTGGATGGCAGGTGGAGAGGGAAAAAATAATGGAAGGGGCGGGCAAAAGAATGAGATAACGTGATAAGTGATAACGAACATCCGAGCGGGGCCGGCTATGATACTCAGTTGAGTTCAGGTACCCACGAGTGCTGGATCATTCTTTTTTCATCGGATAATGTAACACGAGTATTAGAATTAAATCTTTCTTTTTTTTTCTCCTTTGATCTCATTATTTCTCAAGTTTTAAACGCTGTAATCGGCCACCCGTTGAAGTTGAGTTTTTTAATTTAACACTGGTCTTTTATTTAATGGCTCGAGTGACGATTAAATCGAAGAGGGTGTCGTAGCAGTTCAAGCCTTGTTGAGGTATTTAACTTTCTTTTTTTTTTCTTTTTGTTTTGTTTCTAACCCTCGACCGAGGCGACGGATGAATGTACAAGTGTGAAATTTCATTGAGTGTTTCTTTCATTGGATATTTCAAAGAGATGTTAAGAGTTAGAAATGCTGAGTGTACTGATGTTATGGAGAGGTGCGTTAAGGGTGGGAATAAGTGCTTGTATGAATAGCCTAGCTCCTCCGGAAAAACTCCCTCGAGTGTATGCGAAAAATGGTGGATTTTGCTCGGTGAAGGGGGACAAAAGGTTTCTTGGGTACTGAAAATCTCACGAGATTGAAGTTTCTTGGGTAATGCTGGGAATTCACGAGAGACCTGGGAATGTTGAGGTTCTTTTAGGGTTTCCCATAAATTCGGTGGGATTTTCCACGAAATCGGTGAGGGTTGGGGGAGTAGATCACTTGTTTATGGAGGTGTCATGCAACCAAACAATTCGAGGGGGAAAGATAAAATCGCTTTAACCCTTTCAATAGTTGTACTTAAAATGAGCAATTGAATATCTCAAAAAAATAAAATACACAACCGAATATATTTCTAATGAATGAGAGAAAAAGAGAACGTGCAAATTCCACTTACTCGTTATCATCCGCTCTTCTTCTTTTTTTTCTCCTGCTCTCCTTCACTGTGAAGTAGACCGACACGAGTCCTCAGAGACTTTTCTTGACTGGAACAAAGGAAGCACACCATCCTCGTACCCGGAAACTACCTAGAACGGAAGTAGAAGGTAGAAAATGAGTGAACGAGGCGAACGAGGGCAGCATTTTGAACCCCACCTTCTCCACACTTTGTCTCTTTTCTCTTTTTGTGACTATCTCTTCTCGTATTTCTGTTACCGTCTTATTTTCCGTCTTTAACGCGTAGGGGTGGAGAGGGGGTGAAGTGGGCGGTGGGTGGTTGGAGGGGGCGGGTGGAGAAGGGGGGGCACATATACCATTACTATCTATCTTGATGCCTTCCCCTGCAGTCCTCGTACAAGTTGAGTTTCTAATTAAACTTAAACTTTTAATTGACTCGTTGTAAACCAGTTAGTTTCCCATGATTTTTTGTTTATTTTTGAGTTAACGGGGGAATACTGATGGAAATAAGAAATACAACTGACTCTCGAACCCCCCACCAAAAGTCTGATTCAGGTAATTTTGAGGGGATTTTAAAGTTCTTCTAATGGGAAATTTAATGACTTGTTTCGGATTAACTGGCGTATGTGATTGCCTCACGGTTTCGAGCAAGGGTTTGAATAAAAAATTAATTCAATTGCTCTCTCAAAGAGGGAAATAAAAGAAAAGGATAAAGCCAATGGACATAATTCACTTCCCATTGATTTCCTGAAAACCCTTCAAATATGTTTTCCTTTGCTAAGATAAACATCCTGCTGACGCAATCCTGCTTTATCGTCTCCATCAACTAATCGAATTGCCATTTTTTTCTCTTTCTCAGACAATCGAACAGAGGATTTTGCCGATTGTTGGAGAAGATAAACGCAGAGAGCCTGCAGTACAACGAGATAAATAGAAAAAAAAAACTCAAGTTTAAATAGATAAAGCTTACGTGTGCGCTTCCCGTTTGGAGAGAGGGGCTAATTAAATTTTACTCGTGATTGATAATTCAAAAATACTGAGAGACAGTCGTGAGAGAACTGACGAGTTGCTCACAATCTTCGAGACTAAACAGTGAGTGACTCAGACCAGTGTTCAGTGTTTGTTTTGGTGAGTGATATAGTGCCGTGTAATTCAGTTTGAGACACAGTAACCGTGATTTATTCAGGTATCGTAATAAGGGATAGTGATTGATAAAAAATATTTATATCCCATGAAAATGCTACAGTCTCTGAACGCTCTGGCGGGCAAAATATCGCCGGGCTCGCCTACCGATGGCAATGCCAACAAAGTTCACCTACAGAACAACAATAACAATAATTTCAATAATAACAACAATAATAACGTGTCGCATCATCCCCATCCGTACTCGAAGCAACAGTCGACGAGAATGCAACCGAGTAATGGAGACAGCCAGAAAGAGAACAGGTCAGTAATTATTTAACATGTAATTATGAAATTAGTCGAATTTGCTATTTTTGACATTAATTTATCTCGAGAACTATTAGTTCAAGGGGAAAATGTCTGGGGACTTTTACGCGGTGAATGAAATTTCCAACAAAAAAGGGCTTTTGATATTTCGCCGTAAAATCAATAATTTTCGAGATTAATCGGTAGTTAATAATGAATCTCAAATTACACGTTACGAATGTGCAATTACGAATATCTTAATGACGATAGAGTAAAAATGATCAATTTTTTTTTCATTCAAAGATACAGTTTCACATTTGAAAAGGAACCAAGACTCATCGAAATCGCATCGTTCGATCCTGAGATACCGACGATTGAACACCCGCTCTCAATTGTAATGAAAAATTCCACGGACACTTTGCTGATAAACAAATGGATAATCTGTAATTTTATATTCTCGTGACTTCCGGTTGGCATTAAATTCCACCGACTGCGTATTGTTTATCACTCAAGTTTAGCAATATTCGAGTTTCAAGGGGCCCAATGCAACTCGTATTACGCAGCTTACAACGCGTTATTTAAAAATAAAAAGGGAAATGAGAGGTGGAGGTGAAAAAAAAAGTTTCCCGTTCCCATGAAAATAATCACAATGATACGAGAGCATTCCATCACGTTGTAATGAAGATCCATGTATTTGTGTTAGAGCAGTTTCACTGGTTGGGTTATCGTTATCACATGCCAGATGGCCTATCTCTCATTGGCAAACACCGATGCAGACATTTAAGCGATAAATACTGATAGCTAACGAGATAATCAACGTATTCTCAATTTATCACGAGTGAGAGAACGCAAAAGTTAATCCAAAGTGCAAACTATTCCGACCGAAAAATTCTCGAAAAATAACTGGAAATTTTCTATATATAAGCACTACCTTCTTTGCATACCACCCACAGGGGGAAAAAAAAAAATTACCGGATAAAATCACCCGAAATCGCAGCAACGCTGAATTTGTATTCAATGGATAGAATCGGAAAAGAGATTTCCCACAGTTGGTACAACCCATCTGAGGGTTTCACACAAGAAATCTGACAAATCTGACGAATTCAAATGCATGAAGTGCTGAAGAGAGATAGACGTAGAGAAAGAGAAAACCCATTGCACGAATATTTTCTGTAGTTTTTTCACACTTTTTCAACACCAGGCGAGATGGACTGTTGCGCATTTCCGCGTTCTGTTGTGATGTTCAACTCTGTGCACATGTACGTGGGAAAAAAATACATCTGTACTAGTAACTATAGACACTTTGGAGAACGGCGATATGGGTGGAGGGATAGACGGTAGACGCATTCTTGTCGTTTCTTGTACGAGTCACGTAGCGCATTGTATTGTCACATACCGCTGCTGCAGTTTCAAAGCTCCAAATTGTATCGTCGGGTGGTGCATTTTGTATTGCATATACGAAGGGACACAAGCTCATATACGAATGCTACTGGCATAAAGCTGTCTTCCCTCTCGTTTCAAATATTCTTCACACCGTGGCAACAGTGGCTACAACCCCTTTTACTGGATTGCTGTTGGCACTCGTGTTTCGTCGTCTTCATATGTATTGATGTTTTCAGTCGTTATTGTTAGCGTGAACTCTCTCTTCTTCTGGTTTTCTATGATTTTTCAACAGCCCTTTGCTGATTTCTCAAGTCGGCTGCAACGACTTGTCTGTAGGAAGTGGATCAAGAGATATTTCGGGACGAATTTTTGTAAGACTAGAGTCCTCTGTGTCTTTTGAATCTTCAATTATCTGATATTTATCCAATTTTTCTTAGTAGCGGAAGCTGAAGATATCATTTGGGAAATCACAACAATTTCGGGACGAAACATGTACGATATTTGTCTCCATTCCGCAAGTTGCATGAGAGAAATTTTCATAAAAAAATCATACGATAATCCCCGTAAAAATTATCGGACTCCTCAGTAAGGCATCGCGACCTCAAATATTAATGTCCAGTACAGTAAAATTTCCACTGCTTCCACGAATATTTCACAATCTTAGTGCATTCTGAATCATTAAATCAACTCCAGAGAAAATTGATGATCACAGTAGTAAATTTTATTGCCCTGCGCAGTAAATATTTCGCGCAACTCCAGTGACTTTTGATGCACTGCACATGACTTTTCATCAATACATTGGAATATCGCACATTAACTGGTAAGAAAAAAGAGAGCAGTAATTTTCGTGGATATTTCTCTCGGTGGCTAGATTTTTTTTTTAAGATTTCTTTCCCGTGTAGAGCATAAAAATTGCCAAAAAAAAACTTATACTTCAGTGGACAAGGGTTGTAATCCTCGATATACTTCGTGTGTCGTTTACGTACCCCACGATTTTTTCCCCCCCCTTTCTAGAAAAACTTGTTTCTACGACAATAGCGTACGAATAAGGAAAGGTAAAACGAGAAAGGGGAATACGAATCATCGGCCAACGCCAATCGAGTTTTGATTTCTTGCTGGGATATCCAGACCTTCCAGAGTAGTGGATTGTTATATAAGAGGAGGATGAGGTTTTCGTGGGCAGAGGGTAGATTGTAATGGAGATAGTATCGGAGAGCTTGTCTAACCCGATGGACTTTTTACCGTCCGGGTACTCTGGCTCGTGCCAAGAAATTTCTTCTCCGCCTGTTATTTTTCTTTACCCGTATTTCTTTTTTTTTTTATTTCCTCTCGTTGTATCTCTCTGATGTCACGTAACCTCGTGTTGTTGGAACACTGGCGTTTTTCGGATTGAGTCTTTTGCCTCAGGAGATTGGCTCGTGTTGACAAATATGATTGGTCGATTTTTATCCCATTATTTTGATAGAATACCATTCGTATCGCCGATTGAAATGTTCGCTGATAATTGTCATTCTATGATAACAGTCTATACAAATAATCGGAAAAATTACAACAAAATCTTTCGAATGGTTTTGAGATTGTTGTTGTTACAGAAGATTGTAGATTCAGCTGTGAGTCACATGGAGAGATGAATACAATAAAAATTGTCAGAAAACAAACGTAAAAATTACGTTCTAAAATGCGATTGATTTTAATGCAATAAAACTGTCGGAAAGCATTGACATGGGGATATAAATTCAAGAACAATTACGGAACTACGGATTATTTCCGGAATTTATATAGAAATATAATAGAGAAATCTGAAAGGTTCAGTAAATGCTCGAGTGTGTCCCTGAAAAATTCAGCAAAATCTATCAATAATTTCACGAGTCATTATCTTCAAGAATTTTAATCTAACATTTCATAAATTTTCCGGGTTTTGCGGGTAATTTTTACACGAAGAAAAATATTCAATCAAATAACGTGTCTTTTCCGTAATTCCAGAGCGAAGGGCAGTTGTAGAAAATTTCGCGGAACTGTAACTTGTAATTTATATCTGAATCATCAGTAAAAAATGACGATACCGTCACCTGAATTTTTCGTGTCGATTCCGTAATCGGTACGCGAATTGAAAGCTCCGTAATATTTACTAAATATTTCTCTCCATCAACTGAATATTTATGCGTTCATCAGGGGGTTGGACGAAAATCCATCAATTCCCCGTGCCAATAATGACATTCAGCCAGATAATTGGCACAGGAATTGCCCGGAGGAATTAGCATTTTCACCACCAAAAATTCTTAGAACCCATTGAGCAATGTGCATTGTCTTCAAATGGATACTCCAGTGATACAGCACAACCACCATTTCCCTTTCGTCCGTATCTGCGGCCTCTATTCCACTAGAATCCATTCCCATTAGCATGTTATTGGTGCGTTGTTTACTCTGGGTTAATCACGACCAGCGTTTCGAATACCCATGAGTAACTTGCCCCTGGTTTATATACAAAGTCAAAGATCCAATGTTATTATCGTTATCCGTGTTATCACGGTGAAAATACGCATGTAAGACGACCAGACCGGTAACTGGATTTCTAGAGCTCTCGTTCACTCGTTATTTAGTTTTAATCAATTTTTTTTTCCAGCGAATGACATCCGTTTCTTTTTTTTTTTTTTCGAAAAAAGTACTCCCGTCACCTGAATATTAAAAAGTTCTCGCTCGGACACTTCAATTTCCCGGCCGCGAAACATTTTCGTTCGACTGTCGCGGGAGCTAATCTGTCCACTCTTCTTTTTTTTTATTTTCATCCAGTTCTATGAAAAATCCATAGCTTTTCTCGGGTGACAATGGATCCTGGGTAAATCATTGATTTCGAGGTATTTGAATGGATGAATGCTCACTGAATCTACTATTCGCTGGTAAAAAGCCCCTTTTTTCTGTCGGGCGTTCGAGTTTTCGAAAACGATTTTTAACTCCGGTTTTTATTCACTTTCCATGAATCCAAATAATGTCTAAGTGATTTATTTATTCAGCGATGGTATTGACCAAAAATTTGATAAATGAAAAATCGAGATGAGAAAATAGCGAAGATGAGAAATACCGGTATTGTATTCCAATTCTCCGATAAAACCAAAAATTCAAAATTAAATTCCAAAAAATTCAATAGAAATCACTAGAGGTATCCCCTAAAATCGAAAAGCTCTCTGAAAAATCTCGACTAGAATAAAAAAAAAGAAGAAAAATTTGGGAAAACTCATCAGCGAGCTGGGCAACCGAATTACCGGAGTAACAATTGAATTACCTAAAAATTTTTCCACCCCCACTCGGTAAATAAAAGGGTAAAATAGCCAGTGTGCAGACACGTACCAATAAGCCCTCTTTTCCCTCTGTCGACGCGTATTTGTCCTCTCCTCTTCGTTTTCACGTGGGATTCAGCATCACACACGATTGCAATTCCACCATCTACCCAACCCCTTCTTTCCTCCATTCGATCTCTAACCCAACCACCCAACCACCCCATCCCCATCCCCTATCACCCATCCACCCACCTAGTCAAGCGCATGTGCCCTATACTCTTCGTAAATCATTAGTTTTATCAGGCTCATCCAGTTCGGATTTCCGCTTTATCTATTGAGCTAACTGACCGGGCGGATTTC